ATGCTGACGAGGAGGATCATCACCCAAGAGACGACATCGAATGGCTCTGAAAAAAATAGAAAAGCATTAGCAAATCACAGTTTAAAGTAGATAAACATACCGAGAAAGGCTTTAGGTGAAATGATTCCAGTGCGCTTCGCCACGGCAATGCCAATGCCCGTCTCCAGAAAGGGCACCGTAAAGTCGACGTACTCTTGTCGGTCAGAGTTGATTTTGATGGACGTCACCACAATGTCCGCCTTGTGGCTTATAATCTCGCCAATGAGGCCGTTCCAGGAGTTGTTCTGCCCAAATAAAGTTATCAGATTAGTATTCAAAAAAAGGTGAGCTGAAAAAAGCCTACATTGAGAATTCCCCACGCGCCATCCTCCACGCGACTCAAATCGTAGGTAAACTTGAGGTCGTGGGCAAACTTCTGAAAGAGGTCAATGCAAAAGCCCGCGCAGCAACCTCGAGAGGTGTTGTTGTCGCCAAAGCCGCGACAGGGCACTGATCGACTCATCTTGCACTCGCCCGTCTCATTGTCCGGCGGAACGTAATTCACAAAAGGAGCTTCCTCGAGAAAGATAGCTCGAAGGTTGAACTGGTGAGCGAGTATGGTAATTAAATTTAAGCTATGTTCCTTAAAAACAAAGTACCTTTTCCGGTAGTCCCAGCGGTGGAACCGGTGAGTTGCCCGGCCAGGTGATGTCCTTAATGTCAATACCGTCCTGATTCCAGGTGCCAATCTGCGAAAAGAAACCGATTACAGTTTTTGTCAAAACGGGAAGAAACTGTACTTTTTCCCAGTAAGCATTGTTGTTCAGATTGACAATGTCCAGTTCGACAAACTTGAGAGTGCCGTCGAGATTGAACTCCATGCTTGGTCGACCGTACTTGCTCTTGATGCTGACATTACGCAGTTGACTGTATGAGCATTGAAAAGTGAATTGCCGTTATTAAAACAAACAGTTTGAAATCAAATACCTAAAGAGGCGTCCGCCAATCTCCCACTTGCGATCATTCGTTGCATTGCAGTTGAGACTGCTGTTCAGGTTCATTATAGTGCCGTTGTTCACTAGAAGCTCAAGAGCATGCCCAAAGACTGTCACACCACGTTCGAGCTCGTCGAGCATCTTCTCGTCGGTGGTGTTGAAATGAACGCCTAAAGAGAAGAATATGTGCAAGTTTTAGTAAAGCAAACTCAAAACATGACAAAAACTGACCGAGCATGCCGNGAAGCTCAAGAGCATGCCCAAAGACTGTCACACCACGTTCGAGCTCGTCGAGCATTTTCTCGTCGGTGGTGTTGAAATGAACGCCTAAAGAGAAGAATATGTGCAAGTTTTAGTAAAGCAAACTCAAAACATCTGACAAAAAACTGACCGAGCATGCCAGAGGGAAATTCGCCCGGTGCAGCGCCGGCTCCTTTGCCAAGGACACTTTGAGTGACGATCCACATGTGATTCTTGCTGGTCATGCCCAGCATTGAGGCGGCCGAGAAGATGGCTTGAGCTTCCAGCTTGTTCGAGTACACCAAAAAAACTCGAGCTTCGCTTTGTGATAAGGGTTTCATGATCTCTAGTAGATCGTTTCGGTTTGATGTCTTCTCAATCGACAGAATGTCGATAATATCAAATCTGAATGATTGTGATTGTTAGCATACACCGGTCAAAGATCACAGGTAGTTAGAGAAGCACTTACTTAAAGTCGTTAATATTGAGAGATTGATCGCGTAGAGCTCGAATGAAGTGGTCGTATCCGCCGATTCGACTAGTCACTATTGAGAAGGTGTGCCAGGAGTAACGCCGCAGAATGCTCAACATGGCACTCGCCTGGTGCTCCATCGATGGCGCCAACTGGAGAATACGAGAGTTGGCATTTTGGTGCTGAAGATGGTGGAAAAGAGATGTTAAACATTCAACATTTTATTAACAGCAGCAACAGAAGTACCTGATCCAAGCCAATGTTGTCAGCGTTCCAGGCAATCACTGGAATGCCCAGGAAGTTGGTCAGCTGAAGGAGGTACTGAGCAGATGCGGCGTTGCCGCCCCAAATGTCAGAGTTGGTCATGTAGAGAATGGTGGACACGTTCTGCAAGGTGATAGAGGATAGTCATTACTGATTGAGAAATTAAAATTCTACAAAATGTTATACCTGTACGAGCATTTGCTTACATATGCCATCGAGAATGGCCGTAGGTTGCGGATCCAACGGAAAGTTGACCACTTGAGCAGCTTGAATGAAGTAGTAGTTTGTAAAGTTGAACTTGAAGTTCTTTCGACTTCGAATCAGCGATTCCACCGAGTCGGTAAGGCGCTGTGGCGAGACAGCTCAGTCAGTGTTATGAATGGTTTACTGTGATGTCTTACCTTGTGGTATTGTCTTCGTTTAGTGATCAGTGATGTCTTGGGCAGTATGGCGCCTAGGGTAACTCTCATTAGGTTACTTTCGTTGTCACTAGTGGAGGGCTCTAAGGAGGAGGAGGATGATGAGGAGAACAGTCTGCCGTCGCAGAGTGGCCCTAGAAAGAGGAGGCTGGCCAGTGCGGCAAGAAGGACCAAAAACGTCGTAGTAGTCATCGTCATCATCGTTGTCGGCCCGTGCAAAAATCGGGCTAAGGTCGGAGAAAGTCAAAGGAATGTCAAAGAAGTAGTAGTAGTAGTAGAAGTATTGTTAAATGGTAGTAGAACTGCTGGCTAATGGTCGGATTGGTCGTCAGTTGGCGTCCTTTGCCCGGTACTGGCTGGCGCAGTGGCTTCACACTGGCTGCCCAGTGGAACTGGGTGGACGCAACATCACACGAATGGGTTTAAGTGCTCGGGCACTACCACCACAACTCAGGCCACAGGAGGAGAGCAGACGGGGACAACAATGGCGTGGGATGCACACAGAGAAGAAGGAAAGTTGGGTGTTGAGGCACTGGTGAGGTGAGTGGTCAGCCAGGGCAACAAGCGAGCAAAAGTGGTTTCTCCTTTCTTTTGTTCTCTTCAGAGCTCAACCGGCAGGACTGGCACAACCTTCAGCAGCATCACCGCAACTGCAACCACAACCACCACCACTTCCACAGCCACCGCCGAGCCGATCTTCATTGGTGTGCATCATTGGGATGAACGGAGAAGGGGGAGGCACCAGCTGCCAGCGGCAACAACTCCATGTTTCGGCGTTCTCTCCAAACAGTCTCTGTCGCTGTACGGCACTGGATGTGTCACTGGCGCAATTACCGCCACCACCTTTGGCGTCGTCGTCAGTGGCTGTCTGAGACACTCACTCCGCCTGAAGTGAGGCACATTTGGCGTGGGCACTGGGCGACATTACCACTGTGCCAGTGTGTCTGCATGGGCAAGTATGGGGCCAATCTTCCGCATCCATCTGGTCATATTGTGCGTGTGCGAGTGCATGTGTGTGCTATAGGCGCCAAGGGGTAGGCGATGCGATGCTGACGCTGTCGCCATGGCAACCGAACACCAACGTCCATGCGCCGCTGCTTACCCGGGAAAGGCAGAGAAAGTGCGAGAGAATGTGGGAAAGAGAGTGTAAGAGCGGCAGCATCAGTCTTAGCATCATCAGCCTGTCTGTCCCACTGTCTACCGCCGTCGCCACTGGCTCCGGTTCCAAAAGCTAAAGCCCTCTGCTGCTGATGGTGCTGCGGCTATCGGCGCTGGTGGTTGTGGTGGTGGTGGTGCTGATAGTGGTGGAGATGGTGGTGGTTACCACCGTCTGCCGCATCAACGCACACTAACGTTTTCTGCCGAATAAAGAGAGAAAGCCGAAGAGAGGAAGCATCGTCTAACTGTCCCTGTCTACTAAGCACACACACACACACACACAGATCCGAGCCACTTGGTACGATT